CCGCTGGTGTGAATCTTTAAAATAGGAGTTTCCCCGAAGCAGAGCTCTATATATAGATCGCGGTTCGATATTTTGGCTCTGAGTGGATAATTAGCGCCTTTGTCTTTCGCGAGATGTTTTATGTAACAAGTGTTCTACTAACGTGTCTTGTATTGTAGGTCCGACTAATAAGGTGTCGTTGATAGAAAGTCTCTTATCATTTTTCGCGGAGGCATCGAATACGACTCGTACCTTTGTTGTCGTCTTAGCTGATTTAATGACCTCATGATGGGAAAGATAGAAAATTCCTATAGATTCGTCTTTGACGATCGACGTATGTCCTAAATCTATGTATTTATGCGTAATCTGTTCATATTCCTTCCGGAGTTCGGTATTCGGGTGTAGTTTCTTCCGGAGATTATGAAACTGGCTATACCGCGTAGGTGACTGTAATCGTGTCTTTCTTCGCCGAAGGGTAAACGTAAGATATATCTTCCCAATTCATAGTGTTTCGCCACTTAGACATAATGACTTTGCCTTCTATTTCGTTTACTGAATTCGATCGCGTTATCTGAGGAATGATGAGTAGCAAAAAGTTCCGCCTATATTAATTGTCTAGTGATCGAATGGTTATCTCGATAACGCCTGTCGATCGAGTTCTGGTATAGTTGATAGCGTGCATGGAAATCGAATGTGTTTAATCGGTAAGTGTGACCCTTTCGCGAAATTCTCGGTAATGAAGTGTGAGGCGGCACACGTATCTAATAACGCCCGACATTGTCTGAGAGTTCCGTCTCCCTTTCTTACACGATACATGATGCTCAGAAGGAATTGATTCAGTACACCGTGCGAATTGACAGGAGAATCGGTGTTAGTCGCGTGAGGGTTAGTTCGTTTGCGATGTCGACACGGTCTCTGTCTTCGCGGGGGTGTGGCTCTCCTGTTTCGTGATATCATGCTCGTCATTATCTATATGTAATGATGTATGATGGGCCTGGTGACATATCCGAAAACGCGAGGCTCTGCAAGGTTCCAGATGCTTTCTTAAGCAATTCTTACATAATTCGTACAGTTGGATCGTTACCAGTCTGTCTTGTATCGTCATGTCGTAGTATCAGGGGCAACGGTATACAAAATGTTCGTCTCTTTTGCAAAGAACACAATTAGTCGGGGTCCGAGTAAGAAACGTGCGCGTTGTATAGGTATCCTGTCGCTTTCGCGGTCATAAAGTCATCGTCTCGGGATAACCACGTTTTCGCGAGGCTCGTGTGTCGCGGGCGTTGATGAAGTTTCCAACGGAGCACACGCTCGTGCATATCTGGTTAAAACATTAAAGAATTGCTCGATAGTCGGATATTCGTCGGAATCTATCTGTTTGTTTCATTCTTGTAACATGTCGGGGGGTAACGCACGTCCAGCGAGGCGTACTGGCTAGGCCACTGAACTTTCATCAAATGTCTTAAGCGTGGAGATGTGAGAACGCAGTTCGTTTAAAAATGCAGTTACGTTCTTCGCTGATCTGGCCTTCGGTCGGGGTATGTCAATTAACGCGTCGATTTCCCGAGCTAATAGTATACGTGGTACGTCGAATGCTTTCAGTAAGGCCCCCCACGCGTCCTTATATATTTCCCCGGTTAATTGATAATGTTCGATCGTTCGAAGGGCCGATATATCACTGCGCGCGTCTAATAGGGTTAAAAAGCTAGATTTAAATGGGATCCATTTCCCTATATTCCCGTCGAATCGCGGAATCTCGAGACGCCGTAATTGTATTTGTTGATCGCGAGTTTTCGTATTATCGTTGTTTCCGTTAGAGTTATTCGGGTTGTTAACTGCGGCGGTATCGCTCGAATGAATTTTGTCTCCGATCACGTGGTATCTTTCTATGAGCTGATCTAAGTAATCGACTCCTGTCTCTCCGGCGCTGTTATTACCACACTTTTCAGGCAATGATTCATTATCATCTACTTGTTTAGTAAGACGTTCGTAACGCGTTCCCTAATTCATCTATACTTAACCTTCCTTCTTCAATTAAATTCTCGAAGTGCGTTAACCGTGATCCTACATTCTGCCGCTTTTGTTCGAGCTGTTTTTGCGTTGCCATTATGGACCGGTATCGACTATTATATTCTGCGACAGCTACTCAAATCAATTTATGGCAAATATAAAAATCTCTTTTGTACGATTGAATATCCGTGCGTTGGATTCTCGATCACGTTGGTACGGTCCTGAGGCTAGATCATAGGAGGGAGTATACGTGTATCGCTAGTAGTATGCTGATAGATGGGGGTTTCCGGTTATGACGTTACGGCGTCTTCGTCTTCTAGTCGGCCGTTCAAATAAAGTAATGCGGCGTGGCGGTGGAGCCGCCGAAAATGTTATCGTTCTTTGTACGAGGATAAAGCGATTTCCGTGCGGTTAAGAAATAACTAATTTATGAATATATACGTTTCTACCGCTGATATTAGTAACTATGTTATTCGTGTATCGATTCAGAGCTTGGTATAAAAATTTCTTACAAAATGATGAATGAATGAGTAATGATATTGGAAATTACGAACTTCTACTGGATTCGAAGGTGCAATTTCACTTGAGATATCTATTAATAAATAAAGGTATGTATGCATAAGCGCATGCACAGATAATTAAAAACTACTTATCTCGCTTCCAAGTCCATTGTTGTACTGTCTCGGCTGAACGGTGTAGATGTTCGCAAGATGGCGGACTTTCTCGACTTCGTTGTTCTCTAATCGGTTTGCTCAGCGTGGTTATAGTCTATTCGTTGCTTTGTAAATTAGAAGTCGGGAATTCGCACCTTACAGGTTTGTACCAGAATGTTATGGCCTAGATTCCTTAATTAAGAGTCCTCAGGCAATTAGTTGCTAGGGATGAGGAAGAAGGGATTAGAATAAAATTATTCCAACACGTGGTTGAGCCAAACAAAGAAACAATGCCTTTTTTATTGGCTCGTCAGGAAAGAGCCTTGCGGCATAAAAACCCTGGATGATATTTGATTATAACAATGAGAGTCTACCACGTGGTGTTGCCACGCGGGAAAATACCGTCGATGTGAAATGTATATAATNGATATTTGATTATAACAATGAGAGTCCACTGCGTGGCGCTACCACGCGGGAAAATAACCGTCGATGTGAAATGTATATAATGGAAAGATCTCACCTCTCGCTCGCTTCGCTTACGTTCCTTAACTCCTTCTATTTAGATATATATTCACAGGCGTCCAATGATGAAATGAAAGAAGAAGCGCTAGGGGTGTGAGAAGTGGGGATGCGAGAGGTTGGGGTAACTATAAGAACGCTTCGATAGACGCTAGTTCGATGCTCGCGATGCGTATTGATCTATAATTTGAATCGATAGAATCGGACGCGCGCGATTTATCTATAGCTAATTACCGTACGATCATTTCGGATCGTACACCCTTATCAGATAAGTTTACTTAGTAAAAAAGAAGAGAGTTTATTTCTTTAAACATTTTTCTAAAAATATATAAGAAGCATTACTTGTCACAAGTTTCGAGAGAGTGGGGCGAATGCAGAGTTCTGATGATCTAGAAGAAAGATTTTAAGAAAGACCTACCATTTCTTTGTATAACGCTATGCAACTGCTAAGTTCTAGCAATACTGTTTGCTTTTAAAATTCGGTCTTCTAAATCAATTGCAGTTTTATTCTACTTATCAATTGACGAAAATGACACCGTTATTGTTTCTGAGAGTTTTTATTTGTAGAATATTATTCTAATTCTGAAAAATATGCTATTTGTAAATTATTTAAGCGACTAAGAAAATCTAAATAAATTGGTAATTATAATTACTTTAAAAATGGACTAATAATGTACAGCAATCTTTTTGTATTTAAAATTTTCGGTAAATATGGTTCTGTGTTAGCATACCAGCTGCTAGTCTCAAGAAAGGAAAACTAGTTTGTAGTAGCCCCGTTGTGGGTGGATCCCAATCACCAGAACACAGCGCGTCCTCAGGTTCTGGATAGAAGAAGGGCGTCCTAGTCCTGCATAGTGACGGAGGTTAGCTCGGATAAATTGAATAAGCAGTCGCGGAAAGCCCACTTGGACTTAGCCCTCCTGTTCGGGGGATAAGCGCAGGTCTGAGTACTCCACACCGTAAGACGACCTTATCAAGCATTAAAAAAAAACCGCCATGGATTCTACAAGAGTAAAATTTTCCAGAGGTAAACTAGTCACTTGTTCGAATCTCCTAGTGGGGACTATCTTAGGACGATATTGCTTTGTTAGGGGACAATGAAAAGTCATTAATTAATAATGCGAAAATATTAATAAATAATACTTAAGATCTGGGACTGCAAATAAGCGCGGAAAAAAACAAATATATGATAACCGTTATAGTTCAGAATATGCCTAGTACTAGAATTTTTGTCGTCCGGGAAAATATTCTCGAACGGGTCAGCAACTATAGGTATTTAGGATCGATCATAAATCAAACAAACGAAATTTGCGAAGAACTTAGTAAGTGTTAACAACATCGTTAAAACTTATCGATGATGATGATGAATATGATGATGACGATGATAAAGATGATAATTAAATTATCTCTTATTTCTCTTAAAGACGTATCTTAGTAGGCATCTGGTAGAAAATAGGGTGATTTCCTGCGGAAACAGGACCACCAGGAAGCTTTTTTCATAAGTACTAAGACTCAGTATGCAGAACGTTCTTAGTTTGGAAAATATTAAAGGAATTAAAACGTGCATTTCGAATATACTATAAACATCTTTAATAGCTTCTGATTGTACAAACATTTAAATATAATTGTCATTATTGATTTGTACTGAGTACAAAAAATTATAATTTACTAAAAGTTATTAGGTTTTATAATAGAATTTCGGAATATAAGACGACTGTTGCCCCGAAAATATTTTAAACTAGTTTAGTTGTTAATATAAATATTATATAATGGTAAACTAAATCTATTTAAACACTATTTAAACACTATTTTTTTTGTCTGTGTTTAAATTTCATTTTACGGTTATAGAAACGATCGTAAAACTGATAGATATCCCATTGATGTTCTTAATACCTGTAAAATAATAAAAAGTTTACATAGAATTTTTTCAAATTGCATCCTTTTGATAGATACTTACTTAGAATTCACTTTTTCTCGACTCTGAATAAATGAGCAACGATAAAATAATAATAAAAGTAATACCAGATTTAATCGTTATTTTTATTAAAAATATTTCTATATTTGATAGAAAAAATATTTTAAAATACCGTGCTCTAATGTAGTTTACAAATTCATATAATATTTTTAATAACTTCTTATTTCTTTTTTTTATAATATTGGGTTTTTATAGTTATTAACACATTTCAAAAAAGACCGTTACTCATTTTAGTCCAGAGGAAATAAAATTAAAAGAAATCATGTTATATTTTTATAGCATATAGAATATATTCTATCGAGTAAAAGAATTCTAAAAATTTTACGTCGAAAGGCTTACTTATTTTGAGATAATAATATTTGTTATATTAGTATCATGATTTGCTTATAACTTGCTTTTCTATATTCAAGATAAGTTTTTTAGATGTCCTTGTTTCAGATCCATACAAACTTTAAATTTTCTTACGAAATTTGAACTTCTTTGAAAATTTAAAATGTCTGTTTAACGATGAAACAACTATTGTCAATTTAGTTTTATAGTTACTCTGTTTGTCTATCTTTTATCTGCAAATAATATACTTTGTTTCTTGAATATCGTCATAAACAGATATCCACGTTCAAGCCAACGCATATCATTAGTGCCTCGCGCTAGATATATGACACTCCTTAGTCAGATCATGTTCAACTAGCCACTAATCTCTTTTCGCTCTACAATATTCGGCTCAGAGATAAACAAAAAATTGAAAAGTCAAAATACTGTAATCGTACTGAAAATCGTCGGAATTTTCTTTTGTACAGACGTATTTTAATAAACGTATAGCATATTATACTTAACTGTACTCATCATAATCAATATAACTATCTATGTGTCACTTGCACCTTATCATTTATTATTTAACCGTCTATAGAAGACTACTCAACTCGATCTATTCTCCCATCGGACTCCGCGTACTACCGGTGGCCCACGCTAGAGTCTCTCATTAGACGGTTCTTATAAAAAAATTGTAGTTTGCTTAATATCTAAAAAAAATTGTTATAAGGTTAAAAATTTAAATAATTAAAAATTAAAGTATAGAATCAAATAACAGATTTTTCTAAATCTTATTTGCATATTATCTACATAACATAAATTAGAACCGCCAGATGAAGTCAAACAAACATCTGAGTGACATCCTACAATGAGGAACACAAATAGTAGCGTTGGCATGAAAGTGTTAATTCATTTTTGAAAAAACACAATATTTAAATGCTCCAAAAAGCCAATAAATCAGTTATGATTTAACAATGCAATGGTTTTTATATATTAGAAATTAGTAATTCTTCGACTAATGTTTGGTAATTGTTAAACTTTTTTATAGAATGCTTTCTGTATGCTATATATATTTGTAATAGTTTTTCTAGAGCCCTGTAGAAAATATAATTCTATAAATATATAATATACTGACATCTGTTAAGGTTCTTAGACAAAAGGTGCTAAATTTTCCTGCGGTTAGACACATTGGTTTCTGTGATCTTGCTATGCAAAGCATAATGGATCTTGTATTCTCGATCGGCATATCGTACCATTGGCAAGCATAAAATGCCTCACTTACTTTTGTACTCTGATAAGAAAAATTAAAACATTTTACTAAATGATTCTTTCTCTGCAATAACATTCTTATTAATTATTAGTTCTATGCATTATTTATTTTATAAAATTATATTATTTCTTTTTATTTAAAATAATTACCTCTGTTAAAAGGCACTCTCCAACTGTGCAGTGTGCATACAGAATTAACAGAACCAAATATTGAAAGACCAGGAAGCTAACAAGCACTGTTTTTTCCCCGTTTGAATAATTCTAAATTACAATATAAATTATTTAAATGAAATAAATATTTCTACTATATAATGTTGTGTTTTCTGCATAAATAATATATATATTAGGATGAATCAAAAAAATGACTTTTTTTTTTCAAGTGCCACGCAAAAATGGGTTGCTAGACACCTTAAAACAATTCTCACTAAATATGAGCTCTTAATTTTAATAGGAAGATCCACTGCATCGCAGTTCTTTATTTTTTTACAGTCTAATAGATTAAAATTCATACCTCATTATTTATTGATTGAGCAGAAAAATTTTATAGACGAATTTTGTAGGAAATTTAATGCTCCACAAAAAAGGTATCTTATATTTTTTTTATAAACTTTACCATTTGAATGATATTGAAGATTTAGGTTTGATTATTTTAATACAAATTTCATTATAGTGAAAATAAAGAATTTTTCGCACAATTGATAGTTGTTAATGATGTAGCAGAGCGAGGTGTCGTACTAGTAAGTGAATATAACCAATGCTCAGCAAAAAACGAAGAGCAATCTCAATTTTTATTGCAAGATATTAAAGAGCATTGAAAAAATTACCGTACTTTCAACAAAAAATTGTTTGAAAATTAATAACTCAGTTGAAAATTAAAATAAAAAACTTTTTTATAACTAATTAGACATTTTTTTTCTCTAAAACTGAAACATATCATAATATATTTATAATGAAAACTTTGCTTTTTTATTAATAAATAATTAACTAAGCGACAAATAATGTACAATTTATTTTATTTAATGTAGACAAAGATACTTAAACATAAAAAAAAAACTTTAAAAATATTTTGAAGTTTCCCAGTTAATAAAAACGAAAATTCGTGTAAATTTTCTCAAAACTTATAAATTAAATTAAAATTTTTCGAATATTTAATCAAAAACTTTTAAAATCAGTACATATGAAAGTTTGATGATGAATATCTTTTGAACGCTTAATTTAATCGACAAAATATAAGAAACCATTTTTATAGAGCAGTTAATTCCTACAAAAATTTTTATTGCGCATTTTTTAATAGTCAAGTCAGATTGATGAATTAAGCTAATTTTGAATGAAAAAAAAACCGTTTTTTCTTCATTAGGCCCGGGACTTTTCAGCTCATGTGTTATGTATATATACCAAATATATATATACATCCATATTTCTGGAGTAAATTCTGATACCCCATAGAACAAATTTTTGTGTATACGTTACCGTGAATGACCGAAATCTGAGAATGTCTAGATTTACAGTGTAAATGTCGACACACACTAAATACAATATATGAACACATAAAATTATATCTGTATTATTTAAAGACGAAACTAAAATATTTTTATTCAATCCTCACTTTCAGTGCACAGAGAATATCGATATTTGCAGGTTTATGTAAGAAATAATTATTTTAGCAAATATTTCGGACATACACCAAACGACCATGTGATTCCTTACTTTATTTTGGTTTTTCACAATTACATATAAATATATTATTATTAAAGTTTATAATTAATTTAAATTAGGAAAATTCTAGACTTTACACGATATAATCTGGTTTTATAGGAAAAATATATAAAAGATTTTATTATGAAAAAAACCTAATGGTTATATGAACTAATATGGTTACTGATGAACTCTCAAGTATAATAATAAAATTAGATAAATCTTTAAAGAATGCTTTTATTTCTACAACAATGCTCGTACTATCCGTTCATATTTTTTCCTGTAATTTCAATAACTAATGTTTTTTTACTACTCATGATATTTAATTAGTTTTATTCATTTATTGGCCCGTCTAACTTTAAGATGTCATTCTAATTTTTTGACATTTTATCAAATTATTTTTTTTTTTTAAGAGATTGCCTATACATCCTAATGTTGTAATTTCTCTAAGACAACTAACTCCAATATCTATAACAGTTAATACCATCAATCATAGCTAGTACCATCAACCTAAAATTATAAACTAAATGTTGTGCAAACTAACTTTAATAGAAGCAAGCTAATCCATTTGTTTCAATTAATATTATTTATTGCTTCTGTCAGTGTTTACCGAACAAATAATATTGTATATAATAGTTCTTGATTTTTATATCAATAACAACTTATTTGCTTGCATTTTAATGTTACCTTTTTTAATTTTTGAAGTGAAAACTTTTTTAGAATAGGGGTGATTTGAAAAAAAAAATAAAACAGCTGTGATGTACAAAGCGATGAAACCGAGCGAGGTAACCGTGCGAAAGAGGGAGAAATATGTGCTTGTTTAAAGCAGATTGATTCATGGTAATTCAGGTATAACTGCAGTAATTTCGATTTCTTTCAACCAATCAATAAATAAAATAATTTAATTCATCCCCGAAAAATTAAATAAATTAAACACTAGAAATATCGCGAATTCTTACAAAAAATGATGGTAAAATTACAAAGATTTTAAATAAGAATTTTAATGTTAATTTTGTCTTGGATAAAGCGCTTCTTTTGATTGAGTTCCCTAACATTACCTTAAATTTAAAACTGTGCAGCAGTTGCACTGAATCGACCAGGAAAATCGAAAACAGTATTTGAAGCTGCATTTCAAGTAAATATATTTATCAAATATAAAGGAAATTATTGATTTTGTACTTTAGTTACCGTAAGCAACTCGTATTATTTGTAGAAACTGAGAACTTGGTGTTTTTATATTATGTCGCTGAATAAAATTGTAATAATAATATGTTAAATAAAATGTAAAATAATTTTTATACTTAGTAACAATATTATATTAGGTTGTTAAATATGAAATAGGGCAAAGTTCATGTTATTTATTTCAATTGCACATAACCTCATTTAGACGCTGTATTTTGACATAATTTGTTTTTCGTGTGTAAGGTACATTCTTTTTTTCTTTTTAACGCATATTTCAGTTTAAAAAAATTTGCAATTTTTTTTTTGTATAAGTGATTAAGTGAGACCATGGAAATTCGCTTCCACAGAAATTCGTGTGTTGATGAAGTATGAGTTCCACCGTTAAGCCACAATACGGCAGGCAGTCGCCTATATCAATAGTGTGATCGGCATTCAAGTGGCTACAAAATCGACTGTAACCTGTTGGTTTGAGAAATTTTGTTCGGGAGATTTCGACCTTTCTAATGAACCGCGTGGTCGACCCAAGACTCAGGTGAATAATGACGTCCTGAAAGCCACTGTGGAAGCGAATTCCAGCCAAAGTGCACGTGAGTTTTCATTAATGTTCAATCTATTAAAGCAAACAATCTTGACTCATTTGGCACAAATCGGTAAAGTGAAGAAGCTGGACAAGTGGATACCGCATGAATTGACTGATGCACAGAAGCAACGAATACTGGACACATGTCTTTCTCTTTTTTCTCGCAACAACGCCGAACCATTTCTCAATTAAACCGTCACGTGCGATTAAAAATGGATCATGTACGATAATCGTAATCGTTTATCGCAACGGTTGGACAAAGATGAACCACCAAAACTCTTTCCGAAACGAGACATCCACCAGAAGAAGCTGATGGTAACTGTTTGGTGGTTTAGCTCAGGTGTCATTCTCCACAACATTATGGAACCTGGCCAATCGATCACGGCGGATGTCTACTGTTATCGACTAGACGAAATGATAAGAAATCTTGCGATTAAACAGCCTAAATTAGTTAATCAGATGACTCCAATTCTCCTGCACGACAACGCTCGACCACATGCTGCACGAATGACTGTGTCAAAGCTACAGGAGTTGAAGTTAGAAACTCTCCGTCACCCACCGTACTCGCCAGACCTTGCCCCTACTGACTATCATTTCTTTCAAAATTTAAACAATTTTTTATCTAGAAAAAAACTCAATTCCACACAGGCTGTTAAAATGACGTTTCAAGAGTTGATCAACTCCCGTGATCAAGACTTCTACAGCAAAAAATTAAATGTGTTACCTCTAAAATGGCAAAAGTGTATCGATAATATGGGTGCATACTTTGATTAAAAATAAAAAGTTTTTATTGGAAAAAAATCGAATTCAATTATGTGCATTCTTTGCTCCATTTCATACTTGACAAACTAATAATAAATAAACCATACATTTATTCTACTTTTGATAATCTGCATTCATCTCATTATCTAGAAGCTTGGTTTTTGAAGATTCACTTCTACCCTCTTGTGATCTGCACATATCTGTTTTCTTTGATTTATTCTTTCTATTTTTTATCGCTAGATTACAATCACCAAAAGACTTTCTATTAAAGGATCTTAACAAAGCCTTTCCGATTTAATTTGGTGTCACATAAGACAGTGTATTTGTGCTATTATTATATACAATTTACACGAGAGATTTAGCTACTTTAAAGAATATAATTACTGTGATATTTGCAGAAGACAAATTTCTTTTTTCATTGGATAGAGATTACCTATACTATAAATAAAGCATTTACTAGGCTGTTAAATAAGTTTTGTGGCTCGATAAGAGAGGGCGTTTCTACCAGCCTAAATTTTTTTTTGTTATGTTGGTACACTCCTTATATGGACGTATGTAAAGTTTCATTTCAATCTGTTAATTCATTCTTTGTTTACAAGCCATTTAATATCGACGTGTCACAGTATTTGTTTACATTGGAGAAATCAAGTATCGTGCAATGATTGAATTTTTATTTTTGGAAGGCTTAAAAGCAAAAGAGATTTATAAACGAGTATTGAAAGTATATAAGGACTCTTCGCCATCAATTAGTACAGTTGAAAGATGGGTTGCTGAATTTAAACGTGGTCGTACAAACCTTGAAGACGATCCACGTCAAGGACGCCCAAAAACAGCAACAAAACCAGGAATCGAAGAAAAAATACTGGATATCGTATTTGAAAATCGTCGAGTTACGGAAAGAGATTTAGTATCAGCCCTAGGCATCTCATTGGGCAGTGTAGGCAATATTTTGACTAAAGTATTTGGTTTCAAAAAGCTGCGTGCACAATGGGTGCCGCATTCGCTAACAATGGAACAAAAACACATTTAAATGCGACTTTCT